TATCCCTGTCCCGTGAATCATCGCGATCCCTGGATCGTTCCCTAGAACGGTCACGGTCATTGTCACGATCTCGGTCAATAGACGCGTCTCTGTCCCTAGAGCGAGACTTCCGATCATGGCGGTCGTCGTCCTTTGACGTGGACCGCCTCGATCTAGAATCTGAGCGCGATCGACGCCTATGCGAACGGGAGCGAGACCGTCTGCACACACACGAACACAGATTAAACAGAAAAGTGCAATTAGATTGGGTATGTAATGCGTCCATGATAGGAAAATGGCAGCGTATTTAACTTATTGAACCTATTGAGAACGCGTAAGGTGGTTTAGGGTTGAAACTGGACGCTGACATCCGTCACTTACTGGTGGTAGCCAACCATCTGAAGCATGTCTACTATACCAGCAGAGGTTGGAATATTCACATGTAAGTATAATGGCTTATGACGTATAACTGCGGTCATGCAGGACCGAGAAGTAATCTATAGATAAAATTGTAAACTGTACCGGTATATTTTTTTCGTATTTTACTACAATAGCTCTCCAGTTACAAACCACTATGTATAAAGTTATACTCTCGATGGATAAGCATATATATGTTACTATTTTGAAATAGCACTAATTTAAAGGTAATAGAATCATTAAGATTCACAGATTCAGGTTGAGTTCACACTTAGGCCAGTCAGTGGTGCCTGCACGATAAAGTGATATTGTAGAGGAAGCCATTTCGAAAGTGAAAATAATTAATCAAATCTACCTCAAGAACTGAAGTTATCTAAGGTTGGTACCCAACCCAAGATGTTACTGTAACAACTGGTAAAGCCACATCTAGGGTGTCCTTAAATAATCATACCTGTCTCGAGAGCGGGAGCGTGTTCTGCTGCGTCGACGATGCCGATCTCTGGAACGCGACCTTTCGCGACCACCCCTGCCACCGGGGCGTGCATATTTGGCCATTGCAATACGGAGCTCACGGCCGTCGAGTCTGAGAACAGATACTTTTACTTATTCAAATATTTATAATAATAATTTTAGAAAGTAAGAAATTGTGTCTTTACTAAAAGAATTTAATCCAAATTACTATTGAAACGCACACTAGACATTTTCGTCTAAGCTCAAACATATTGAGTTCTTGCATCTTACGTGGTCGAGCGAATTGACGATGTTGTGGTATTCTTAAATCTACGATATGTAGTAAGTCACTATTATATTATATAGTATTGACGTGCAGTGCAGTACTGTACAGGCAGTAAATAACAACGTAAGAGTAAATGGCAACACCACAGTGGTCGTTTCAAATGATAACCTGGCCCACCTGTACCCATCAAGACAATCCATGGCTTCTTCAGCATCACGTCGGCTGTAGAACCTAACGAAAGCAAAGCCCCGAGATTCGTTGTTTCGAGGATTGCGCGGAATGTAGACATCACCGACATCGCCATATTTCCTAGGCGTACAAAAAATCCAAAAACAAAACAAATTTTTGCAACAAATGGCGACTCGTAAAGATATACTTATCCTTAATTCCTTAGACTAACGCATTACTTATTAATAATCGTACCTTACTTTATTCCCCTCGTATATTTGAACCTTACAGAATTTCCATAAACTTTAGCACGGGGTTTTCTATAATTTAACCCGCCGGATTATTAATTCTTACGGCACGTCATGCGTAACGCACTAGAAGCTCGTAGCTTCTGAACATCAAGCTTCCAGCAACCCAGAATTTCCGCTGTTGAAAGGCTGTTATTCACTACTCACCTGAAGACACGTTTAAGATCCTCAATTGTCGTGCGGTAGGTAAGGTTGTCCACTTTTAGGGACACCATCCCGTGGATATTTGGTGGGCCGCGAGAGCTTCGCGACATAATGTATAATAGATCGCAGCCTTGTAAATCACTCTCACCGCCTAAACCAGTTGCTCGATGGACGAGACCACAACGAACTACGTTGTCCCAACGTGATTGTATCCCTACTGCGAAACTTCAGCACAGCCTGGAGCGGAGGCGACGACGCTACTGGCTAGCGATTGTTCGTCAACATACAAACCAATCAGCGACGCGAAGTCTAGGCAAACAATAAACAGCTTCTGTATCTTCTCTATGGTAGCTGATGATCTCTGTTGAGGCGTCGGACAGGCGACGGCGGTACAAATGCTTTCTCCGAGAGCTACGTGCCGTTTGCTGTTAAACCCGCGAAATTTCGAATTTTTCGATTATTGCAAGCTCACTTGTACTTTCCTACGAGTGTTCCAGCGGACGTTCATGAACGCGTAAATGTGTAAATTAATTAATAGAGTAAATTTCATGGGATACAATTGCATTGTAGTGTTTTGATTAATCAGTGTCTGTCTTTTACGTGTTAAAAGTAATGTTTCTTCTAATATTTTAAATTTGCTGGCAGTCAGTACTCACGATTATAGCCATGACCGGATTCCCAAATTGCCTGTTAGGGATGAGTCAGTAGAACGAGTGTTACGGTCATAAAGCTAGGTGAGAGTCGACCGACTTATAAAATGAGAAATTTTCCCAAATCGGTTACAAGTAATACAAGGACTTTGTTCGACGTACTTTTGCGTTAGTTAACAAAGTTGTTTTTTATGCTCCATATAAAGTACGTTAACACACCAGTTCTGTTAGAGAGTTTGCAAATCAGTGTCTTATGTAAGACTGTGGTCCCAAAAGACATTGTCACAACGAAATATTTCACAATAGAAAGGTAGTTTCTGATGTGGATGAATGTGAACAAGCTGGTGCAACAAAAAACCGTTTGAATTTTCTCAATATAATCTTTTCTCCTTATATTTCTCATTTAGTATATTATTATGTACATGTATTTGTGTATCACCTTATGCACTTTCGTTTTTGATTGGTCGTAACATACATGTTAGATTCACGTAAACAACGCTTCCGTGTTATAATATATACGTCTGACAAAAATCATATAACATAATAATTATATTAAATTGTCGCAGTAAAGGCCAATGCCACCAGATTGACAAAGCTGAATGGTAGCGTAGGTAAGCTGTTAAATATCTGGTTGGCACAAATTTGATCTGCATTCTATCGGTAAACAAGAAAATATTGTATATTTATTATAAAATTAATATCAAGCGTTGACAGTGAAGCTCATTGGAACATAACACAATTAAAGAAGATTTTGTGGTTGCTTGGTAAGTCTGAATAGTTATAACAACGAATTGTAGCAAATGAATAAAATCAAATGTCATTATTACGATGGGTACACATTGGATCACTTGTTGCACCACAAATTTCATCCAATTGAAGCCTTCACCGCTTTCCATTGACGATGTCAATTATTGCCCAGTTATTATAGTACTATTTCATTATGAGTTTGTCAGAGAGACTCCATTCTGCGTCCTCTTTCAGTGGCTTACTGACATCAATTTATTTTATTTAAAAATGTTTGCTTCCACTCAATGTATTTTCAAATGAAAAGTAGTTCATGACCTAAAACACAGACACAATATGAGAAGCGTTTAAGGGGTTAAAGTAATTTCAGCGCTTGCAGTTTGACTCCAAATTCATTTCGTTGCTTTCGGCTTCCGGTCTTTATTGGTGGTGGAGGGAGGCTCTTTGCCGCGTTACGATCGTCGTTGTCGGCGCCATACTCTTCACACACTCAACCTCACGAATCTCCCAATGAACCGGTCCGCCCTCCAGGATGCTCTCGGCAACACCATTTTCCGTTTCAATCACAGTCGTTTCACCATCTTGAGTTGAATAACTATGGTCAGCATACAGCTGCTGAACGTCCTAAACAAAAATTGGTACCTGCACATTAGCTATTATAACACTAGTACAGTGCTTAACAGTCATCAAATCTTAAATGTTTGGGATGTCTTGGAGGCGTAAATGGGTTATTCTCACATGAAAAGGCCTCATTATGGTTTTTCACCACATTTTTCATCTTGTAAATTTGTACTTACAGCATCTTCAATGACGATCAGCTGTCCTCCTTCAACGTCCTCCAATTGTATGACTTGCTGGTGCTCTATAAAAAATTTCGTATCAAACAAATATTGATTTTTAGTGAACGTTTTTACCTGCTTTACGTTTCAGGAGGCAAAGGCAAAAGTTAAATTCACAAATACCAAACAAAATATTGATGCTAAAAAGTGTTAGCAACGCGCAGGCAAAATTAAGCGTAACTGTGTGAAAATTGTGTATATTCATGACTTTACATATCGTAGCTGAAAGTAATGTAATAAAAACAATTTACGACGATGTGGACGTACCGTTGGTTTGGATAGCCTCGCCTTGGTGCTCGGTCTCTTGTTGGTGCAGGCGTCGCTTATAAACTATTAAGATAGCATCCATAAGTTTGTGTACCTTAAATAGATTTATAAATTGACAGAGAAAGAATGCAGCAAGCGATATAAAACTGTTAAAAGATGTTCTGCACGATGTTTGCACCAAACATTCGTTTACGTAGTAATGTGTTTGGTAGGAATAGTAACGTGTGCCTCTGCAATTGTTATACATTAAGTTCTATCCAAATGCAGGTTACTCATACTAGTGTGGTGGGTCAGTAAGTTCAAAACTAAGTTATTAAACAGAAATAGTTTTAGAGGTTAGGTACTCTAAATCAAGACATGCACGAAACACGGCCTATGCAACCGTTCGTTACTTGAAAGTTGTCTCAGATCTAAAAGACTTATCATCTTCTTGTCACGGTGTTGTCACTAGCTTGAGCTAAGATTGCAGTCTTTGCTTAAAATTGCACATACCTGTTCGTAGTCAGCACTTTTCAGTTGAACATTAACCATAAGCTGCAAAAGGTCATTCATCTTAGATACCGCTTCAACCTGCTGGTCCCCACGGAGAGTACCGCCTTGTCTTACGGCCGTCTGCGTTATGCCAACCTGCGCGCACATCGAGGATACAGCCCGCTGTAGTTTTGGCTCTAACACTGGAGCTTCACAAGTGTTCGGGTCTTCTATAAGTTGACGTGTCTCCTCCGCTTCTTCAATCAGGCTATCCTCGCCAGTAACGTGCTCTATAGCGGTGGGTTCGGGTTGAGTATCGTCCTGTAAAAGAATTGCCGAGTCCTCAGTGCCAATGGCCTCCTCAGGCACCATTTGCATGACGGTTGTAACACCTTGGTCCTGCAAAAGAAATGTTAAAAAGTAATAATTTTTTTTCTCTTTTCCACGCTTTACGAATACACCCTCACAACTTATATTAAATATCCGTCCTCTTCTTTTCTGCATACGCTGGGCAATGTCTTTTCGCACTAACATATTCATGCTTAAATACGACTACATGTAAGCTCTCAAAATTAATTTACCTCTTCCATAGGTTGTTCTTCAGTTATTTCTTCGACCTCCGCTCTTTCGACAACTTCCTGTTCCTGAGTGGTATCGGCTAGCAACGTGAGATGATCGAGATCGTGTCCGTAATGCGATGAATTCCACTCCACCTTGACTCTACTGTTCAAGCCGCCATCTTTAACTACCTTCATTTCTGCCGGACACCACGCAAAATTGACGCGAATTATTCCCTGCGAGCAGTGCGACGAAAACAAATAGACGAGATCAGAAAATGTGTTCAAAGAATAAAATAAGTGTTCTCGGTCAATTTACGGAGGCTAATGAGACTTGGCTTCCCATTTATCCATATCCATTTGGACAAAATTTTTTAGAGAAAAGAGAAAGAAACGTAACTTCTAAGTTGTGCATATACGCCTATATACCAGTTTAAAATATCATATGCTTGCACGCACTGCCAGCTTCTCTATCGCCTTACCTTACGCAATGGATCATTTCGGGAACAGGAGAATCGAAATCGGACGCTGCCATCTTTCCTTTTGCGGCTACCCCATCGGCGACGCATCCGTAGTCCAGTTTCCGATTCCATGTGACGACGCCAATTTTCGAATTCAGCCAACGTGGGAAACTCTAACTCCTAAGATCAACACATCGATAGACGCGTTTTAGGCACGCAATGCTGTATTTATTCGACCGATCAATAGTTGAGTGCAGTTTAAGTATAAGTTCAGATTACTGATTTAAACTTAGGTATATAGTTAACATTTTTTTAAATGTCTGGTAGCTGTCTAGAAATGCATTGATCGACGAGTTGAACTTAACATACGTTAGTAACTACTTGCAAATTCACCTGCGTCTCTGGGTTGAACTGATGAGTGTCGACGTAATGAGAGCGGAGTCGGGTTAATGTCGCGAATACAGCGTTGTCGCAATGGACACATTTGAAGTTCTGCTGGGTGCCGTCGGCATTACTGGGCTCCACACGATGTGCTGACCGATAATGTGCTAGCAAAGTTTTTTTGTGGCTGAACATCTTAGAGCACAGCTCACATTTGTACACAATCTCCTGGTTTCTTTTAGTTTCAGACGAATAGTTGGTCATTAATAGTAATAACAGTAATAAGATGCAAGTTTGTTAGGAGAAAAAATACGGCCGAGTACTATCATCTCTCATATGCAGGGTGCTCAGAAAGTTGCTCGACTCTAAATAGGCCGCTGATATATAACGAACAACAAATAAATTATGCCACAGTTATCAAATAAAAGGAGAGTTTAGTTGGATACTACTATTAGCTATCTCGTAAGAAAGTCTCCTACCTAACTAAAATGTCTAACAGCTTGGTACGTGTTCGTATACTCGATAAGTCTAGCCAGGAGCTTACCCATTACATATTTGCTGTGCCTTTCGGAGTTCCATAAGCAAACGAAACTGATCAACTTCATCCTCGACCGGCTCGTGATTGTGGGGTTCGTTGCCATTTTTCACAACTACATTATCTGCAGTGAAGACAGCTCTAGCGGGACATTTTTTCCGAAACGTGTAACAGTGGGTATAGATATGCACAGCACCTCCGTGAGTCCGGTGAACTGCGTTCTGTTATAGAGAAGTACGATGAGATAAGGGTTTAGGCATGAATGAAAAAAATCGGCTTAAGCACAAACGATTTAGCTTTCATTGATTACATCTGCCACTGGTCTCCTAGGCGCGAAACTCTAGGACAAATTAAATAGTTTAGATATGAGCCATCGAATATAAATTCAATTAAAACATTCCATAGCCCTAGCTTCTACATACTGCAGTTACCTTCTCCATGAGAAATTTGCCATACTGCAACTCTTGATTCGGCTGGAGCTTGTAGGGACCTTCTGGATGAACATACAGAGTCGAATTTTTCCTCTGACCCTGAACAGTGAACGAACGCATGCCAAACTCAGTCATCTGTAAGGAAATGTTTATTATGACATGCACAGTATATTCTAAAATTCAAAGTCAGTCCTTTAAAGGGTGATAAAACCTAATAAATAAACCATTTTCTTATGGAGGATTGTGGAGCGTAGATATGTCATTTTATCGCTAAAAGTTTATATTTGTGGAAAAGTGACTTAGCAGGTATCGCTTAAGGTATCATGTAATTCTGTCGGAAGTATTGTTTCTATTAACGAAATAAAGAACCAGCGTGCAAAAAAGAGTTTGACGTTTCGTTTAAGACTTATTCTTAGTTCATTTTTTGTTGTATTGTGTTAGTAATGAATCAGGTAATAAGCATACGATATTAATCATGTTTGATTCTTCAATTTTAAAATAAAATCGTTCTAAACTTTCAGGTATACCTGGGGACCTAAGACTATTTGCCTAAAGTTAAAATATTGATCATTTATTTGACACAATCCCGATGAGACTAGCGAAATGGTGAAACAACTCTCAGGAATAGTAAATAACGTAAAATTCTTTTGGCACATTGAGTATCTTCGTAGAGCCCAAAAAATATTCAATACTTTAGCGAAACCGATTATATCGTAAGCTATTAATCATAACTCAGACTTGCGGTTAACCGACGAAACGGGTGACGCATATATTCGAAACTATCGGATATTTCCGAGACAACCTTTGCGATCCTACTTCATACTATAAGGTCAAATGATTCAGTAGTTTTGACGCTGTTGTTTATGCCTAATTGAAGAATAGATATGGGGGCAATTCAATTAGCTTAAGCATAGCCGTTACTACTCCGATCGCCCGATACAGCAGGTTGGATCCTTTTATAGTTATATATAATAATCTGAATTTTCATTGTCTACAGTCCAGTCTACAGTCAGACTAATCTTAATCTGTTGGGAATATCAGATATCTCTAAAAACCTGTCTCAAGCGACTACTTAAAGCGGGCGCTACGAAAAAGGAGACTCACCCCTATAAGCACATGCAACCAAGCCGATACTTCTCACAGTCACGCATTTCCCTACGTGACATTTAGTAAGTTTCCTTTTTTCAAATTTTAATTTTCAGGGACAAAACGATACAGTAGTGCACCTAGACTACAATATAGACACCGCTTTATTACTTTTTTTTATCATCAAGGCACCAAACCTCAAGTTCGAAACGTCCTATATAATACGTACCTAGGCATTTATGTGACAAATATGTGAACCAATTAGTTACATAAACTATTTTCTCAAGTAGAACATGCCTCTGTATTCGAGTTAGATGTTCCTACAAATAGTTTCTCGAGACATTCCTGTATATTTGAGTAATCTCTGTCCTACAAATGATGTAAATAATATACTGAAAGGTCATGTTCTTTTCCGCTTTCTTTAAATAACATCAATCGTTGATACTTCTACCTATTTTTTAGCATAATCTGAATAAGTCGTAAATAACTATGTATCATTTGCCACCAGTCAATTGTTGATAAGAATTCAGTTGTAGTGGGACTAGAGGCTGGACGAAGAACTTTGTCTCAACTGTACACCTTAAGACTATATCCCTAAAGAACTATGCCGCAGTTGACTAACGTTGGGATACTGTTAATGACTGTTGATTAAGTTGGTGACTGAGTTGTTATATTTGGGAATCTACCTAAAGGTTAAGTCATTTCGAACTGAATTATGTTGTAGCCGTTGAGCGTTTATAATGAAATTTTTGTAGTACGCAGACCTCGTTCAAGTGTCATCTACGTGCCTAAGCTAAGGTAAGTGATGTGGACAAAAAAACGAAAAGGACTGGGCCTAACAACTCTAGTACAATGAATTTGAAATTAAGCAAATATTGCTGTTTTCGTTCAAATGATTGCACTTTTACGCCATAAGAAGTCGTTGTAAAAAATGTTGTTTTATTTCAAATCCGAATTCGTTGATTGCTTGCCACCGGAGTTTTATGAATTTCAACAGTTCTGCTGCAGAGGAAACACTTACATACACCGGCCACGAATGTCCAAGATGGAAAATATAGAAGAGTACCCAAAAGTCTGAGTTTTACGTCCTGTACATAAGCAGTTAGCCATTGCTACATAGGGCTGGCTCCCCGAACAAAACGAAGTGGGTATACGCCCGAACCCGAACCCAGACTATCATTACCAGTTATCCTTAAGTTAAGCGCATATGTTACCGTTGCACCATTCGGGGAACAAAACCTATGAGATACCTTGTAGCTAAGTATGAGGATGCGAATTCGCCAGACTGACAGAAAAGCTCTTGCAACAAACAAATGCCTTGCGTTACATAAAGTTCCCTCATGAAAAACAGAAGAGCTCGGTCGCGACGGGAAAACCACGCAGCTATTAGATAATCAGTAGTTTAACTACGCAACAAATGCGATGGAAATCGGGCACATTATGAAAATTTAATGATAACTTCCCTTTCGATTAAAATCTAATAATTTACTGTATGTTACTTATATATATATATATATATATATATATGTATATATATATATATATATAGTACACGAGTATGACATACCTTATACAAGTGTATGACAGGTAACTTTTTGAATTGTCAAAAGAACTGCGCCCTTCATACTGTCTCTTTCATATTACACATAGCATACACCTTATCTACGCCAGCTATTATATTTTCGACAAAATATCATCCTGCCACTCACTATATTCGGAGATGCGCATATGACGTTGACGGCCGGAGCGCCAACGCCAAGCAGCTCTTTACCGCTGCCAGCTCCATCTGGCGAAGGTGATCCAGCTACGCCAGCTGTCGTTACCACCACCTGACCAGCTGCCGTCGTTAACTGTCCGGTCAGCTGAACACCTGGCCTCAATGGGCCATTGCCTCCACCAGGGGCGCCGCCCCCGGTTGGGCCACCACAATCAGGCACCATTGCCGTCGTGACTGCCGTCGCACCTAGCGGCGCCAGCGGCTGAACGTCGACCATCCGCATGGCGGGCTGCGCAGGCACGGGCCCATTGTTATCACAGAGAGCGGCATCACAGGTGGGTCCGCCACCCAGCACACCAATCACGTGGATGGCCGGCGTAGGCTGCTGTTGTTGCGGCGGCTGTGGCTGTTGAAGTCCTACAGCTCCGACTCCAAGGGGCAATGTCTGTGGGTGAGGTGGAGCACCAGCTCCGCCCGGCACTCCCACACCCATGTTTACGCCAACATTCAACCCCACGCCTACACCAACTGGAACTCCGATACCGACGACCCCAACATTTCCAACCGGTCCAGGCTGAGCAACAGCTATAGGTGGAGGTGGGCCTACAGTGACAACCGCAGCTGGCCCAGGACCCCCAGAACCAGGGCCAGGTCCAGGTGGACCTCCAGGTCCGAGGGGTGACGGCGCGGCCGCTGCCACTGTGATTGTTGCCGGCGTCGTCGTTGTCGACGGTGGTAAAGGTGCGAAAGGAGCCACCGTCGGGCACCCCCCGGACGCTGTTGACGCGGTAGAAGCTGATGTACAGCCACCTGCTGCTACCGCACCTGAACAAGTCGTAGAGGAACACGAGGCCGAAATGCACGCATTATCCTCACTATGCGTCGCGTGTAACTTCACCAGCGGCGTTTCGTCAGGTGGTGGGGAAGTCTCATCCCTAAACGAACAAAACAACAGTGAAACATAGAGCGTTAACAACAGGAAAGATAACAGGAAATTGAAGGACGTTAGATAATGATGCGTGAACCAGGCGTGTGCAATGGAAGCAGTAGCGTAAATATGATTAGTTTTTCTTGGCTTTGTTTAATACTGTTTTCATTCTGTCAGTAGTCGATTTGATCGTGAATCATTAGATGAAAAATTATGATTACGGTGGGGAACCAATGCTGCTCAATGTAGCTATACCGCCTGACAACCCTATCGAGCTATTCGACACATTTTTCATGTACTAATCATTAGTAAATCATGGTCACAAGTGGTTCGTTGGCAATGTTCTAATTCCCATAGAAAATGGCAAGGCATACTTTTTTCAATAAAGTATTATACAGATTAAAAAGGTTCCGTTGAGCTGTGTAAAAATATATATGATAAAACGACAAAAACCTAAATGGAGCACCTAAATCGATGAAGGCTTCTAACCCTAATTAGACATGGCGTCAATACTACAGCAGCAGCGAACAGTGCTAAGATAAAAAAAAAAATCAGTAAACTCCAAAAAATTGCTTGCTCTGTTGCTGGAGTACGCTATATATGGTGCACGTTATAGATATATTTATATACCAATGTATATACATAGGTAATACGCAGTTACTGTGAAATTCATTCTGTACGATTCAACGGCGAACCTTTGAATTAAAATCACCAAAGAAATGAGAAACCTTGAAACATTAATTCAATTTTGTATAGATGAAGTAATTTCCGGCAAGTATTCTTTGTCCTCGACTTATAATTGCTTCAGGCTAATACTGTCCTTACAATCAAAGCATGTCTGAGTATTCGGACGTATGTGCGTATACTTCGCTGCTGGACTTTACAAGCCTGAGCCAAACGAAGTGTGCTATCTTGGCCTTAAACTCTAAGACGTAATATTCGCTAGCCAAGTTCAAGGTCAAGGTCAATCACGGTAGAAACCTTAAATGACCTAGCAACTTGCAAATGACTACATGAGGATTCAATTCAAATGGAAGGACCTCTATTTAGGAAACCGTGTTTTCTTAGCCCTTTTAAAGCGAGGAAAACTGCGAAAAGTTCACCTATACAGGTAGCCCCTTTTCCTTAACGATCGTCTAAAACGACGGCAGCCACACCGACAAGGCGCAGACTTACTACGCCTGCACGCATTTGTTTTTTCGCAAGGCTTTACTTCTAATATACATATATATATACATATATATATATACAT